ATAAAGTAGAATCTAGACTAAAGGGTCCCTGGGTGTAGAGCTGGGAAAGCTGCGTAAGAGGGACTTATCAGACTTCTTATCTCAAAACTGAAATAAATCCTTTCTCTTCAGCCATAGTTCATATGTCTATGTTCCTGAACAGTACCAAGGGTTATTTACTCCTCTCAGTGTTGGGGTGACTGTGAGCCCAATCTCCCCATGGCCTCTGCCAGCCGGAATAGATGAAGTTAGCATGAAGAAGAAAGTAGCAAAGGATATAGAAGCAAGCATCCCACTTCTGTTTGTTCACACTGTTTTCCTTTCAGACCAATAGCTCTTCTATGTCTTTCTGTGGATTAAACTGATAGGATTTCCTGCTGGGATTACACCTTACCAAGGAAGGAGTACATTCTCCTACTTGCATTCTCATAGCATGGTATCCGCTAATGCACACTCCAGAATCAAGGCATAAAACACAAAATAACAAAGGTTTACTCTTTTGTAGTCTCCATTTACAAAATCTTCTTTATATATGAGTAGAATAATATTGTCCCATAGAGAAACATCCAAATTTTGAACTCTAGGAAACCATTATTTTAGTGTATTCCACCACAAAATAATGTATTTATGCAGATCCAACCAACAAACCTGTGAAACAAACATTACATGCCTGCCTCTGCTCCTGGTGATGTCACTACAGAAAATGCTACAGCCTTTATGTGTAAGTATACATCCCAAAAGCCTACAATCCTAAACTTCTGAAAACAAGCACCAATCTCTGTGGGATATCATTGTAACAGCAAGAAAATTACTCCCTCTTGGGATTCAATTATTAGTACAATGAGGTATAAAATGTGGAAATTAATCAGTGTGAATCAGTGTATCATAAGCTAACACAATTTAATTCAAGTTTCTTGATGAACAATGTTTGCTACTACTGAGCATTTCCTTTGTGTAATATGTGAATAGGTGGCATAAGACATGTTTGTCTTATTTCAACAGTCCACTACAGACACAATAAAGGGTGAGAAGTCACCACAGTTTCCCCAAAGAACAGAGAGAAGTGAGTGAATGTGGCTGAGCCGTACCTACACCCCAACTAACACACTTAGAGTATCTATTGTCATAATTTCTATAATACTGTCAGCATTTCTTTACCTTTACAGACGAGGTGACTGAAACTTAGGCAGATAAATCCCACCCTCAGCTAAAAACATGTGATCTCTGTTAGAAGAAACTGGATTTGTCTTCTGGGTTTGTAAAACCATCTGGCAATGGAAAGAACACAGCTGCTGAAGTGATACTGGAATGGCAGACTCCATGTGCTTTGATGGAGACCAGGACACTGGCTCTCCTCTCTCCCCACACCTGGTCTTTTCCTAAGTATACAACGTGGACTTCAAAAATGTGTGTTCAAGCAGTCTGTGTGCTTATGGGTGCACCAGAGTGTCCAAAAATTGTATGAGTGCAATTAGAATCAGAGTTTCCAACTATCAATGGCTTATATATAATTACCTATAATCAATGAGAATTTCTCAAGTTTGAAGTAATTTTCATAGTGTCCTTTTATACTCTGTATCATGATATATCTTTGCTCTCATTTTTAAACACACAGGGTTTCCTTTGTATATTTACATCTGTGTTAACTACTCCAATGGGAAAATCAAGAGTAAATGCTCAAAGCTTAAAGCATCAGAATTACTCGAGGTTTTCTCATGAAGCTTGACATTTTTTTTTCGTCAAGACAATTCAAATCTATAACTTTATTTTATATAAGATAATCGTATTTTATGCATATTTTAGTTTGTGGAGTGATATGTTGAAGTCAAATGTAACATAGTTGATGGACATATAGTACCCTCCCATTCGTTTTTAGTGACATTAGAAATAATATCACACTATGTGTGTCTCTTGAATGACAAATTCCTACAAGAGCAAAATGGAAAAAGCAGCTATGGATGGTAGCTTTGGAAATAGATTGTAAGCATCCTAGCAGATGCCTCACATAAGAGGTTTTTGGTGTCTCCCTTACCTTAGACCTGAAGATATGAAAAATATTATAGGAAGTGGCTTATTCTTTTAAAAATACTTTGCAACCATTACTCATAAACATCATATAAATTAATCTTTTAATTATATTTTTGTTATGGTTTTCTTTTTGATAGTGTTTATTTTTTTAGAGCAGATGTGGATTTAATTAATAATGAGGACTAAATATTTTAGACCTGTTTTTCCCACCTCTTTATGATTTCTATATTACTTATCCCTTATATTTGTTAGTATATAAATTGGCCACAAGTATTGAACCGGTTTTGATACATTGCTAACTGTATTCCATAGGGTATTCCTCTAATCATAATTCTTGGGAATTTACTTAATCTTTTTTTTATTCTTTGAATTACTCCAATATGCTACACTAACTTCACTTTCACATCACAAAAAATACATTCGTGTCTTTTTTGTGGCCATTCCATAGGCTATCTGTATATTTCATTCTAGTGTCTGTTTATGAGCATACAAAGTAGTTGGTTTTGTTATGTTATTTTTTCATAAATATGTTTTCTCTACTAATTTCATTCCTTTAACCTTCTTTTGTGTGCTATGGTCTACATACACTGGTTCCCTCCTTCTCTGCAATGCCCCTTCTTTTACGTTTATGTAGTATGTATTCTATTATCCTTGTTTGATTCTAGCCCTGCCTCCCTGCCTACTTAAGTAAGATTGCTTTATCCTATCATATTGCCTGTTTATAGAGTCATGAAATAGAAGCAAATATATATACACAAATATAAATACTGAAATCCAGGACTTACATATGAGAGAAAAAATCCAGTGTTTTCATTTATGAGTCTGATTTATTTTATTAACATGATCTTCAGTTCTATCCATCTTCCTACAAAGAATAGAATTCCATTCTTTATGAAAAATTAAATTTCATTCTCTGTATGTGCCACATGCCATGTATGTAGTCCTCAGTTGGTTGACATCTACGCTGACTTTTGCTTTTGACGAGAGCAGTGCATCAATAAACATTCATGTGCAAGTATCTCTATTGTAGGATCAAGTTCTTTGGATATTTGCCTAGGTATTGTGGGAGGCTGAGAAAAGTGGATACAGGGAAACTGTTGTCAGGATGTATTGTATGAGAGAAGAATCTATTTTCAATTTTTAAAAAAGTAAATTGAATCTATGGTGGTTAAGAATATTACTGGGAGGGGTTTCTTTTCCTCTTTTTTTTGTTATCTTTTTATTCTGATTGGATTACTTTTTGTTTCTTTTTTTCATCCTTCTGTTTTGAGTTTCTGGATTATTTATCTGGTTGGTGAGATAGTTAATACAAGATATTGATCTGCATCTCATGTTTACTGTGAACTCTCTATGTAGAGCAGGCTGTCCTCAAACATGTTCTGATCTCCCAGATATTTCCAAAGCAAATAAGAACACAGAAAAATTATATATAAGTATGAAAATGATACTGTGAAACTTATCTCTTTGGTGGTTTACTGAATTATTAGCAATTATAAGGCAGGAAGACAGCTTGATAGATTTTTTTGTATAAATAAAATATGACCATCTTTACTCCAAGTATGATAGAAATAAATCTATATTGTTTTTCATTTCATTTGCTGGAAAAGGTGAGTAAATACATATTCATCTAAGAGAAGGCACTAAGGGCAGACAAAAGTAATTACATCACTCAACTCATTTATTGAATTTATTGAGGTTATTTAGAGGACGTTGGTTGAGAAATGAACTCAAAGTCACCCATGTCACTGTAACGCTCTCTTGTACATGAAGAAGCATCACTGGAGTCTCTCTAGATACGGGGGTTTCAGATGGGATCAACAGTGTGTAAAATTCAGAGCCCACTTTGATTGTGAACCCGGAGTTCTTAAGAGTCAGGCACAGAAGAGAGAAGTAAAATGGTACAATGGAAGATGGGAATCTAGACATTTGCTCTCTGCATGAATTGTAGCAAGCTTGGTCAGTCAGAGGATCTCTTCTCTTAAGCAGTCAATTATTGCTGCTTGTATAATCTTGAGGAGACATCTTCTGAGTTCTGTTTCCTGCATCTTGTAACAATATCAGTATAAAATAAAAGGTGGACAGAACCACATAAAGCCTGATATGGGAAGTCAGATTTCTTTAATATAATAAATTAGTTTTAAATTTTGGTTGAGTCTCTCTTGATATCCATTAAAATATACTGAGAATATGTTATTTAAATAACTATAGTTGCTGAGTACATGCACACACATATACTTGCACAACAATAAGGTCATATTAGCTCTCAAAACAATTTTTGATTATTGATACAGTAACAATATTCTTATATGCCTGATTTTACACCTTTATTTTCTTCTGAGTAAAATTCATTCCTCAATGAAAGTTATATGCAAAAGATATATATTCTTTTTTATGAACTAAATTTGTAATAATACATATTTTTGTGAAAATATCCTCCTACCACCCTTTAATCAATTACAACATTTACTTCTTTAAAAATCTCTATCAAAGATATTATTTTCTGTATCATGCAATAGTCACATTCATCCTTTCCATACTATAGATGACTGCATTTTTGAAGGCAAGTACTATTTCTCATATTCACAATGATTTCCATTTTATGTGAGAATGAAAACATTCTGTTTTTTAAGATGCTCCTGTGTCCTAAACATCTGACAAGAATAGAAGATAGAATAATATTTATTAGATTATACAAGTATTTTTAGATAACAAACATATCATCATGTAATCTAAATGATTATATTTTAAACTATTTAACATGACCCATTTTGGAATGAAATGTTAAAATATCATTGACCTTTTTCAGAAGCTAAAAGAAGTAGATTTTGTTTTTCCAAACCAAACCCATTAATTTAGCCATGCATAATATTAACTCAATTAATTCTAAAAGTATGTTTAAGACTATGTATGATGACAGTTCATATATTCATGAAAGACCACAAAATAATGTGAAGTCCAATGAGAAATTATTTGACTCCAAGTGTCTGAACATTTTAATTGTGTCTATCATTCTTAACATGTGGTATCATGGTCATTATTTTGGTGACTGTGTCTTGGACATCCTTATTTCTAAGACTGTAGATCAAGGGATTCAGCATGGGGATCACCACTGTATAAAACACAGAGCCCACTTTGACTGTGAGCCTGGTGTTATTAGAGTTGGGCACACAAAAAAGAAATAAAATGGTGCCATGGAAGATGGTGATGGCTGTCAGGTGGGATGCACAGGTGGAGAAAGCCTTCCGGCGCCCACTGGCTGAATGCATCTTGAGGACAGTAACAACAATGAATAGGTAAGACAACAGGATGAGCAGGAGTGTGCTGACAGCATTAAAAGTGGCAAAAATGAACAACAGTAATTGATTGATGTGAGTATCAGAGGAAGAAAGGGCTAGCAGTGAAGAGAATTCACAGAAGAAATGATCAATTCTATTGACACCATAAAAAGATAATTGCCCAATAGAACCCGTCAGTGTCAAGGAACATGTGAGACCCCATGCATAGGATCCCCCCACCAGTGTGACACAGAGTTTCTGGGACATAACTACAGTGTAAAGCAGGGGGTTGCAGATGGCCACAAACCGGTCATAGGCCATAACCACTAATAAAAAGGCTTCAGTTACCACAAAGATACAAAATAAGAAGTATTGTACTATGCATTCTATAAATGAAATGGTTCTGTCTCTTGCAACAAGGTCCACCAGCATCTTGGGAGCAATGATGGAAGAATAGCAGAAATCCACAAAGGAGAGGTGACTGAGGAAGAAGTACATAGGGGTGTGCAGTTTGGGGTTGATTCTGATGATGAGGATCATGCCGATATTGCCTACCACAGTGATGCTGTAGATGGTGAGAAACACCAAGAAGAGAGGGACTTTCAGTTCTGGGTAATCTGAGAAGCCCAAGAGGGTGAACATGGCCCCACTATTGTTTCTTTCTGATATCAACATCATTGGTTTGTAAGAGTCTGTTCAGTCCTGAAAATGAGAAAAAATAATAGAAAGAGGTTATCTGTGAAACACTTACTCAACTATAAACCATGGTGAGTGAGGCAAAGCGTACATTTCATCATCTGTGTACCTGCCGTCTTAGATAGACTACTGGAATTTTTAAAGAAGGACCAGGGCAAAAACTAATGGAAATACCACATTTACAGTTTCTTCTTAAAGACATATTGAGTTAAAATGCAAACTCTTGACTTTTTATATTTCTGATTATATAATGAGATTGTAGTATACTTATTTTAAATTAGTTAATTTTTCTTCACAGAATACTGCAAGTTCCTAAGTGATAGGACTGATGTTAATATAATGATATGTTATCTTAAACTGATACTCAGTATTACAGAAAATTTTGAACTATGTTTTCATTATACCTTTACACAGTCCTAATAATTCGTGTTGTGCTTCTTTGTTTTTATATTGTTTTACTTTTTTCCTTACTCTGTGACCTGGTACATTTTAAAACCAGACGCAAGACAATTATTTTTTTCTGTTAATATGCCTGGCAATTCAGACAATTCTATTTATTAATCATTCCACATTGACAGAATAATAAAAAACATAGCAAAAGAAGTTGTATTTTACTTCTTTATAGTATTTGTTAGGATTCAAGGCAGAGAAATGTGACATTCTCACTAGCATACAGATAGAGCTCCACCTCCATACTCATATCTACACCTCTGATCCTCACACACCTAGCCACGTATACACTTCCTTAACATCAGACTGATTATGTTTTAGGCCCAGATGATGACATATTTCCTCTAAGTAATCATCTTGTTGAATATTGGTAAGTACTCTTGGGGTAAAACTGTGGAAAATGGAGCATTTATGCTGGAAATTAGATATTTTTTAACACCTTCACTAAGAAAAGGCACAAGAAAACTGAATGCAAGAGGATTTTCTCATCAAAGAGTAAGTTCTCATGAAGACTGACAGAAACTTCACATTTCTAAGCCAGTCTGTTTGTTTGCCTTTTTTCATTTTCTGATTCTCCATTCAAGACACTTAATATAGTCATTTTGTCCCTCAATTATCTGAGAAGAATGAAATAAAACACAGACTAACTAACTAAATAACTAACTAAGTAACTAACTAACTAACTAATATTACATTCTATAGGGATTTTCTGTAAATACAAATTTGTAATTAATATCAAAAATACTGCATTATATTATTTCCTTGGAGGTCAAGTACCAAATACTTCCTTACCTAGAATATGTATCTCTGTGTCTTCTGGTAATAATCTCTTTGTTATACAGACCATGGTATCAGATAATCTGTTGGTAATGATGTCAAAATACTTACAAAAGTAATTCACTCATGTGTCCTCTGTGCTCTTATATTCACGAAATTGAGATACGACATGCAACCTCTTAAGACATTCTGTTATTAAGCAAGGGACTCTAGCTGTCACGTGTACTTATTCATAATGTTTCATTTTGCAAATTATTGCAGTTCCTGTAAGCATGATTTGCACAGAGTACAGTGGATCCAGGAGAACAGTTCTGTTATTACCTTGCACATAAATCTTCTTTATTATCTTTTCCCATGTTATTTGCTTGTTTCTTTGCTCCCAGAGCTCATAACTCTAAAGGAAATTCGTATTTTTGATATTTTTCTCTAGCATAAACTGTTCCACTTCAATTTGTTTCTTTAATTAACATAAATGAATGATTTTCCTTGTGACATTTTCCATCACACTTTATTTGTGTGGCTCTTCCTCCTTTCTTCTTTTCATTACTCTGTCTGTCTTGATTGTACTATTCTAGCCCCCGTGTCCCTATCCAATTCCAAGCCACAAGTGTTTTACTACCCTCCCCACTCAACTTTTTTACAACCTCTTTTTTCGGTCTTGTGCTTCATTAAAAATAATTATATATCTCATCACCTCATTGATTCCACCCACTTACAGAACCTAGACGACTAACATTTCTCATATTTTCCATTCTTTTCTATCCCTGTACCCCATCTGTCCTTCTTTACCTGTGCTGAGGAGTTTGAATGAGCCCTTTAAAACATCTGCAGAAAGACTATCTCCACTTATTCATTATTGACACAAGCTCCAAAACCCAGGGAAGCAGCATGGGCTGGGTTCTTCCCTCCAAAATTGTCGTGCTGTCTGAAAAGAAAGGAAGGAAGGAAGAAAGAAAGAAAACAATATTTTCTTTCAGTCTTCAACCTGTAAAAAACTGTAGAATGTCTTTTGTTTGAGAGATTTACATTATTATATTAGAAGTTACAGCCTTAGGGGCACAAGCCTTTGGGACAATCTAGTCTCATTCTCTTGAGATCTTGAAATAGGCAGTGGAAATTAATCAAGTAATATGATGTAACTAGCAAATCACAGATTGTCATGTTTGATATCACAATTTATTTAACTTTTAAGGAAAACATGTACTAAATATTTAGTGTTTTGTTTTGCTTTGTTTAGTTTTTTGGTTTTTAAAATTTCTCTTATTCTACTAATATTGGAGTATATATTTTTCTTTACTCTTGATAGATTTATATTTATGTTTATAGTCATTTTGCCTTCATATATATCTGTGTATCGCGTGTCTACAGTACCCAAAGAGCCAGAAAATGGTGTCATATCCTCTAGTCAATGGGTAACAGATGCTTGTTAGCTACTCTTAATTGCAAAACCACCTCTTCATCTCCAGGTGTGTTTTATGTTTCAATTCTAATTCCTGAAGCTGTAGTTAACTATTGTTCATGTGATATCTTTTTGCCTCTGATATTGGCCTTCTTGTGACAAATGACCATCTTAGTACTATTGCAGTATCCCAAAATTAATGCTTGCAACCCTTACTTTTCAGATGCTTCAAGGATACCTTGTTTCCTTAATTTATTAGTTGGCTCCTTGATTGTTCAAGATTAAGTTATTTAGTTAACCATGTTTGCATATTTTCACCTACCCAAAGCAATCTTCAGATTCAATTCAATCCCCCCCCAAAATCTAACACAATTCTTTACAATTCTTGAAAGGACAATTCTCAGCTTCATATGGAAACACAAAAATCCCAGGAGATCTCATCATTCCTGATCTCAAGTTGTACTACAAAGTTATATTAATAAAAACAGCATGGTATTGGCATAAAAATAGACATGTTATTCAATGGAATCAAATTGAAGTCCCAGACATAAATCCACACACCTATGGACACTTATTTTTGTGAAAGAAGCCAGAAATATACACTGGAGACAAAGACAGCATCTCCAACAAATGGTGTTTGTCAAACTGGATGACTTCATATAGAAGAATCCAAATAGAGCCATACTTATCACCCTGCACAAAACTCAGCTCCAAATAGATCAAACACCTAAACATAGAACCAGATACATGGAACCTGATTGTAGCTGGAGTTTTCTCTCCAGGTCCCGCCAATCCCCAACAGTCTATTAGCCTACTTATAAAATAAGCATACAGATGCCTATATTATTTAAACTGCTTGGCCATTAGCTCAGGCCTATCATTGTCTAGCTCTTACTCTTATATTTAGCCCATTTCTATTAATCTATACTTTGCCACGTGGCTCATGGCTTACTGGTACCTTACATCTTCCTTGTCCTGATGGGGCTGAAGGCAGTCTCCCCCTTCCCTTCCTGTTCCCTCAATTCTCCTCTCTGTTAGTCCCACCTATACTTCCTGTCTGGCTACTGGCCAATCAGTGTTTTATTTATTAACACATTTGCCATACAGAACATCCCACAGCACCTGATAGAAGAGAAAGTGGGGAAAAGCCTTGAACTCATTGGCACGGGAGAAGATATTCTGAACAGAACACTGTTAATGCAGGCACTAAGATCAGTAACTAATAAACAGGGCTTCATGAAACTGAAAAGCTTCTATAAGGCTAAGGACACCATCATTAGGACAAAGAAGCAACCTACTGAGTGGGAAAAGATTTTATCAAGTCTACAGGTAATAGAAGACTAGTATCCAAAATATACAATGAACTCAAAAAAATGGGCAGCACAAAACCAAATAATCAATTAAAAAGTAGGGTAGAAATCTAAATAGAAATCTCAATAGAAGAAACTCAAATGGCTGAGAAACATTTAAAGAAATGTTCAACATTCTTAGTCATCGGAAATGCAAGTCAAAGTGCTTTGAGATTCCAACTTATGATTGTCAGAATAGCTAAGATCAATAACATAAGTGACAGCTCATGTTGATGAGGATAAGGAACAAGGGGAACATCCCTTCATTTCTGGTAGGAGTGAAAACTTGTATAGCCACTATGGAAATCAATATGGTAGTTCCTCAGAAAAATGGTAATCAATCTACTTCAAGATCCAGCTATATCACTCCTTAACATATACACAAAAAATACCAAGTTTGTTGCTGCTCTATTCATAATAGCCAGAAATTGGAAATGATGTAGGTGTCCATCAACAGAAGAATAGATAAATAAAAATAGTACATTTAGAATATGGAGTATTGCCCAACTGTTTAAAAAATGACATCATGAAATTTTCTCGCAAATGGATGGAACTAGAATAAAGAATTACCCCCGAGTGAGGTAACCCAGACCCAGTGAGATAAATATGATGTGTGTTCACTTACTTCTGGGTGTTAGCTATTAAGTAAGAGATAGCCAAGCTGTGATCCATACACCCAGAGAAGACAGGCATAGAGGAGGGGACTAAGGTAGATACAAGGCTCTCCCTGTGAGAGGATAATTAGGAGTGGGATGGAGCAGAGGGGGTAGGGTAAGGGGACAATAGAACAGCAGGCTCAGGTGGGAAGGGGGAGGGGAGATAGGATTGAGGAAGGGAACTGCAGGAGAGCTACCTAGAACTAAATGGCATTTGAGGGGAGGTATGGAAACCAAGTGTAGTCCAAAGTAACAATAAACTGACTCCTGAAGATATTCTGCTGTACTCATAGGTTTGTGCCTTATTCATCCATCATCAGAGAGGATTCCTCCTGTAGCAAATGGGAA